GTAGGTCATCGCTGGCAACACAAATAAGTACTTAGTAGGTTTTTTGGCATATAATTTAACTTACTATAAAAACACACCAACCGTGCCAGTAATGACAGGAAATGCATTGTTGACCGACACCTTGAGTAATCCCGTCAACACCGATCACCGATCACCTTTGACACCACGTGTTGTGTTACTACTTCCCTGTTTATACGGTGTCCGTTTCACACTTGCGTAAGGGCTTGACGTTCTTTTACGGTGAATACGTGTTGATTGGACATTCTTATTTTATTTTACATAATGCACAAAAATACCTTGTCCAAGAGGTGCAGAAGGTCTTAAAATTAACCTACATATCTGACAAAGTTGGAACTTACGTAATTGAAAGTCGGGTACACTTTTGAACAACGTCAACAGATTGAAATTGCACCTTAAAACATGTCTGTAGGTGATATTCGTTAAATAATATTAAAATTTGGGATCTACATAGATCTCAAACGTAATCATACCTATATGACTTTGGAAAGCCGTAATATGATAGCAAATTCATTTGAGTTTAAACTCATAGAACACTTTCGTGATACTAGGGCACGGGATGAACAAGTGTTGCGCCTGGTGGTAAGCCTAAGGTAAAATCCATAACAGTTGCAATGCCACTCAGAAATTTCAATCACAAGGATCTGAATGCCAAGTCAAGGTTTGACAAGTCCTGTGTACTTGTAATATCACCAGCACCCTTAACCCTTCAAAACCGGAACGCAGTATTTCTCATATTACTTCCATACACGAACTCTTTTACAAAGAGCTTTTTGGTACTAAATTCTTCTTTGAAAGAGTTTTACTGAATCTTTCCAAAGAAATTCCAAAAAACTTTATTTTCATTAAAACAATTGTCACTTACATGAGAACTTAAAACTAAACAGATAATTAATAAATGTTCAAATTCAAGCTGCAGTTACAAGCTACAAAACGAAAAACAGAAATATCTAAACATTTGATACGAACTGGAAGTTATCAATTTCAAATTAAAAGATATTTTTTAATATTATACAATTGAAATGTTTATTACTGCAGTGAATAGTTGTAAACAATAATTATTAAACTTTTTTATTATATCAGATTGATATTATTATTATATTCCGATTTTATACTACTTTTATTTTGATTTTAATGGAATTTTATGAATTACTTCAATTTAATGTGTTTTATAATCGTTGTTATTCGAAATGAATGAATTTCAATTTTAATTACAAAATTTTCCTAGATTGTTAAAGTAAGAGCTATTTACGTATTTATGAGAAAAGTGATCCAAAGCTATTGTAGAGATTGTTCACAATCATTTTACAAACAATTGCGACGGGTAGTTTAGTAGCCAATGTAAGATGACACCGGTCTCGCTCCATAAATGGAGAAAAGTATCAAGATTGTCGACAATTTAAGATGTAGGCCTAGACGGGTCGTTCACCTCGTCCTCCTGAGGTGAGATTTGGCTAGATCAGTTTCTTAAATTGTTTCGTCTCGTAGACCATGTGCCAATTTTTACCCGACTTGAAAAAAAGGAGGTTCCCAATTCGATTGTATTTTTTTTGGTTATGCGATTTCTCCGACATTTGTGAACTGATTTCGATGATTATTTTTTGTTGGAAAGGGAATAAATATATCAGTAGTAGTTCTATTTGCAATTGAACAAAATATTTCACCTCTAGGGTGACAAATTAGGGAATGAATCCGGTGCATTGGATTTCACCCACTTTCCGCTAGCCGATTTGAATAAAATTTCGTAAATAGATGTAATGCCACAAACAAGCAATCACGTTATGTTTTTTCTTTTATGCTTAATCTGTGTTTATTTTATATCAGTGAATAAAGCGTTTATTTATCTATCTATCTAACTTTCAGTTCGGTTTTTTTAAGTTATAATTATTTGTGTTTCGTGTAGCATAATATTATAAAATATTTTTTTTACAGATTCATCATTTTTCACACGGTGCCACTCACTTTGGTAAGTTTAGATGTATGGTGAGAAACTTTATTTAAAAAAATACATGCAGTTTCATACAACTGCCTCTGTAACCGAAGGGTGCTAGTCTGCGGTCCCGGGTTCAGTTTTCTCGTGAGTTTGGGTGTATTTTGTGGTTATCTATGTGTATCTCCATGTCAAGAGTGTGTGCGTTATTTTAAATTTTAAACAATTATCTTTTTTTTGTTTTCAAGATGTATAAGGTCCCCTTACTTTTATGTTGCTAAGTAATAAGACCAACAAGTCATCTGCCGTCCGCTAACTATATACCCGATAACCCGATAATGAAAACGGGGTTTCAGAATAATGAAATTGTTTAATAATATTTCAGCTATGCATCGTTAGGGTAAGTTCCGATAAGTCGAACACGGAAACTACTTTTAACCGTTTTAAAAAGAGAATTTTGTGCTCTATCTTTTGCTATTTAAAACGGTTATTTGACCATTTGTCACTTAGGCGCCTTTTACTTAGTAGATGGTAGTCATGCACTTATGATTATCATCACAAAGACCCGAGTGACACTGCTATTGCAATCATCCTGAGACGTAAGTTGACAAGTCCCACGTGCCTGTAATTTCACCAGCAACCTTACCCTTCAAAATAGGAACGCAGTAATGCTCATATTACTGCTTAGCGGCAGAAATAGGTAAGCCGGAACCACTTCCTTGAACAAACTCTTTCACAAGGACCTCTACGGCTACTTGCTCTCCCTTAGTCAAGATCAGTCTGATTAGGAATGAACGGTGTCTATATTTTTTATTTGAATACAAAAGGCACAGAATACAAAGTAGAGAATAACGATGTGTTGAATCATTACATAACATCGAATCAGTCAGATGAAACTCAGTTATGGGCCAGTACAGCTATTGATCGATAAATAGCTGCAACTAGAAAGCGATTGCTATTACGCAATACGATGATATACTTAGATTGTAAATTAAACGATCGATTAAATGATTGCTATATAGTGAAATTGGAAAATGAAAATGGCTCTAGGCGATTGAATCTGTTTTCCAATGACGGAACAAGACGTAACCTTACCTACTTACGTTACCTATTTCTGCCGCCAAGCAGTAATGTGCGCATTACTGCGTCTGGTTTTAAAGGGTAAGGGTGCTGGTGAAATTACACGCACATGGGACCTTATGTCACGCCCACAACACCCGGCCGATAACGCCGAGGGGTTTTAAGTTAGTATTCCCGCTATCGGAAGGTCAGTCCCACGTAACTCTCGAGCCTGCCCGTGCTCAAGAGTACGCATAAAGCATTTCCCCCTTTAAAAAAATAAAAGAAAAAGGGTGATGGGCGCAGAGGCAGTGCACCTCATATCTTTGCGATTTAAAGCTCTGAATAGCACTGCAACTGTTAAGAACAGGTGTGTCGTTTTCCATCAGGCGCACGTCTTGTTCGTCTCGTCACTTAGTATCATAAAAAAATACGTAAAAGTTAGTAATTGATTACATAGCGAAAAGAGAATAAGTACGTTACAAGAATAATTTCCTTATTCAAACTAAGGCCTACGTAAAGGTGTTTTCAGAATTTATATATCTTATTTCATTTCGGAAATATAGAATTGAACAACGATCGATCTGACATCCACAGCAAAGAAGAACGAATTAAATGTACTGTGTCCTGAGAACAAGTTTTGTAGATAGATCTTTGTTCTACGGATGAGTCGATTTACTTTATGAGACGTAAAATTTTTTGCATGCTTATCATATTTTTGGCGAAACATGTTTGTCATCACTAATATTACTTTGTTGTCTTGACCACCGTGTTTGTAGCAAATAAATGATTTGATTTGAAACACAACAATCTCCTCTCTCGCTTTGGTAATTGGTCTTCTGTACATCAAGAGAAGATTTTAACCCCTAGCGTTAAAAAAAATAACCACCTCCGCTGGCGAGGCCGTATAGCCTCTCAGTTCAACGTCTACCGGTAAACTCCTAGCCGATTCCCTCCTACGGTACGGTGTTCTAGAAGTCTTCAGAGCATGCTCAACCGAGATATGCGGCCGCCTGAGGTCTACTCTAGGTTTGCTGTTTAGTTTTTTATAAGCCTTCATCTTCGCACTTTTTCCGGTGGCACGGCATATGTTATTACTAAGAAAAACCCCCTAGCATTAGAATTCGTGTCTTAATTCATGATATAAATATCTCCAAATTTCGTAATATAAAAGAAAGCTGAGTGTCAAACCGATACGGCGTTGTTTATGCAACACGAAGCGTCTTTATGCGGCAATTTGATTTATTGACTTTAGAATTTTGATTATTGCCTTGTTTTTTGTTTTATTGTTTGTTTTCATTCGTAAATAATGTTTTCGTTTTTTACACGATTCGTAATATTGCTAGAAAAATATTGAGCAATTTATAAAAATAATCTAGACATTGTTACTACGTGGTTAGATATATTTCAAAAAGCTTGCAGTAGTGGTCGAAAAGGCTCGAGCCTTTTAGCCCTTTTTTAAGACTCGCCGCTTTATAGCGATGGCTAGAAGGCTAAAAAGCTAAATAACTCTCAAGCCCTCGAGGCTAATTGTATTTATGGCTTTTGCTAGCCGTCAAAAAGGCTCAAGCCTTGTAGCCCTAAATTTAAAGCTTGCGAGTCTTTTTTAAAGGCGGACTCACAAAACAGTAGTTCTAAAATGGCTCACTAAAAAAGGGCTTGAGGCTTTTTTTAGGCCTAGGCTTTTTTAAAGCCTTTTTAGAATAGTGGCGTCGTGGCGTAGTGGTTAGTAATCCTGACTGCTAATCCAGAGGTCGTGGGTTCGATTCCCACCGAGGACAAATGTTTGTGTAATGAACATGATAATTTGTTCTGTGTCTATAAATGTATATGTTTGTTTATCGGTTGTCTAGTATCCATAACACAAGCTTTAGTTTGCTTACTTTGGGACTAGATAGCGTTGTGTGAATATGTAGTGACATATTTATTATTATCCATTTATTATTATTAATATTGTAGCCATCACTATAAAGCGGTGAGTCTTAAAAAAAGGCTAAAAAGCTCGAGCCTTTTTGACCGCTAACGCCAGTCTTCTAAAAAGGCTTTAAAAAAAGCCTCGGCCTAATAAAGCCTCAAACCCTTTTATAGTGAGCAATTTTAGAACTACTGATTTGTGAGTCCGCCTTTAAAAATGGCTCGCAAGCTTTAAATTTAGTTCTAAAAGGCTCGAGCCTTTTCGAACTCTTTTGTGAGTCCGCCTTTAAAAAAGACTCGCAAGCTTTAAATTTAGGGCTAAAAGGCTCGAGCCTTTTCGACCACTAGCTTGCAGCGTAATCGTAAATTACTTATTATTTAGTAGCAGCTCCTTGTGAAAGAGTTCGTCCAGGGAAGTACTGCCACCTTACCTATTTCTGCCACCAAGCAGTAATGTAAGCATTACTGCGTTCCGGTCTTCAAGGGTTAAGGGTGCTGGTGAAATTACAGACACATGGCAGTGCCCCTCAGATCCTTGGGATTTGAAGCTATACAGACCGACGAATCGCTTACCACCAGATACATGTTTGTTCGTCCCGTGACTTGGCGTCATAAAAAAATGTAAATCGCGAATATTTGTTTTTTCAAACATTTTAACGTTTCGGTTACTTTACCGATCCCACGATCACGGTTGATGCCATGACCATATTAACTGTATGATTTCCAAAAGACAATTTACGGATAAAATATACTTGATTTAAGTTAGCTATAGATGTGGAGGTGAGCAACACGCCTGTCCACAATCAACTTAACATTATTTTTTATGATAACAAGTGACGGGACGAACAAGTCCTGCGCGTGGTGGTAGGCTACACGGCTGTCTATAGCAGTTGAAGTGCCGTTCAGACCTTTAAATCGCAAAGATATGAGGGACACTGCCACTGCGCCTGTCACCCTGAGACATAAGTAGACAAGTTCCATACGCCTGTAATTTTACCAGCACCCTCGAAACCGGAATACAGTAATGCTCGTATTACTGCTGGCTGCAGAAATGGATAAGGTACCAGTACTTCCCTGGTAAAGCACAATCTAAACATTCACAGGTAAGACATAAATAGTCATAATAAAAACAAAATAAAAACGAAATAAAATTAGCACACAGACTATTTACTTAAACATATACAAAGACATTAAGTATAAAGATAGAGTGTGCGGTGACAGCTGCGGTAACAAAGGGCCGCTAACTCAGTACGTATTTGCTGGAAAACTCGGCTCGTTTCTAGCACTGGTTTTTAGTTAGAATCCCAAGTGACGTCACGGAACAACTTACGCAAGCATACTTATTATTTTACAATTCTTAATTGGGCTACCATCGTTCATCAAGTTTGTATGCGAATAACTATCGCAATAATCGATAACCTAAAAAACGCGACGTGTCAACAATAGATCAGTGTCAATATGCGCTGATATTCTCTACATTATTATTTCCTAATTAACACAATTTCACAACATATTCCAAATAAGGGCAAAACCCAAGATTATTGTCGCCATTGGATATCGCGGTCGTAGTGCCACTGCGCATTAACTTGTAACAGTTTTCGCTGCGGAAATGCGCGCACGCAGCGAATACTGAGCGTTTATGACGACCGCATCCGGGACGACGCTTTGTAAAAGGAATATAAGATGGGTGCGGATATGTGACAAGAATTTTTTATATGAAAATAATGGCTTGGAGATTTATACACATACGTATGTCTACATATATGTATTCAAGTACAATCTTACTCTTCTGCGTACAATATAAATCCGGTGACTTACTAGTCACGTCATGTTGATCTCTGAGTTGAATACTTATTCCTTCAGGAGGTTCATCTGCAGATTGCTTGTCCGGTATCTTCTTGGTATGGATATGGGTATGCGGCCCCAGACTCGTTTATACCGATTCTGAAGACTACAATATCCCATTACCCTATTCTTCACCCACTTTTTACCACCACCAAATTACTCTCTGACTCGTTTTGTTTTTGACGCGGATCTCTCTTGCGTAGTGCATAGTCTGTTTC